TATTGTTGATGCTACCGCTACTGAACAGCTGCCAGTTTCTTACCTGTCTCCCACCCTTCACCCTCCCTAATCACTACCACAACAAGCTGTTTTGTCTTGGGTTCATGGTGCTTCCCACTTCCTCCTCCATGGAACGCCCCACCCCATCAATACAGAATACTTCTGCTTGCCATTATAACCTAAACCTACAACTCCTGTGGGATTCTCAGAATGGTTAAGCTTGTCTTTATTTTGACCACAGTGCTTTCATTTAGCTGTACCCTTCCACCTTGACTATCTCCTTCCTAGGTAACTTCCTCTTCTTTGAACACATCCTTAACCCACTGGATGCTCCCAGAATCTCAGGCTTGGTTCCTTTCCTGGACAGATGGCTCATTGAATCATCTTTCAATCACAAAAAAACTTCTGGCAAGCCTTGGGTTAGTCTTTCCCTTATAATATTCAGATATTAAAAAACAATTATATTATGGCTATTTTACCAATCCTGAATCCTCCCATTAATTTTCAATAATTTTGGGGAATGGAGGATGAAAAGTTTGTCCTCCATGCTATAATCCCATTCTTAATGTGTTCACTGTAATGTGTGTTTCTGTAGAACCAAGAACATTGGGTCCAGCTCACTCACCCTACTAACTGGGCTCCATAGAAACAAAGCATCAAGGTGGATCTAGACTGCTGTACAGAATGAGTCAGGGATATAAGGTTTGGAGAAAACCTGCTAAAAGGTTCTGAGCACCTAATTCCTAAACTGGGGAGGAGCCCCACCAACCAACAATTCTCTGATACCAGTTGGGTGTCCTATAATTCAACTCAATTCTGACACTCTACCTGGAGATAGCCTCCACTCCCAGAGGTGAATGGCTCAATCCTACAAGACTGCTCTCTTCCCCTTCAGACACCAGTCACAAGTCCAGGTTGTCGCCTGTGCTTTTGACTGCTGGCTATAGATTGGAGGTTCCAATGACTCCTCTTTGGGTTTGATTCATTTGCTAGAGCAGCCCACAGAACTCAGAAAAACATTTTACTTACTAGATCATTGGTTTGTTATGAAAGGATTTCACTCAGATGGAAGAGATGCTTAGGGCAATGCGGAAAGGGCGAGGAGCTTCCACGCTCTCTGAGCATGCCACTCTTCCCAGATTTCCAAGTGTTCACTCCTTCAGAACTCTGTCCTTACTCTGGATGACTTCAACATTCCAGCCTCTCTGGTTCTTTGACCTCCTTACCTCCGAAGACTTTATTTCTGTCTTCCTCACCACCGTGTCATTACCAGAAATTGAACTACATCTGAAATCTCAATTTTAAATCTTTTCTCTCAGCTTATTTACTAAAGTACCTCCATTGTCAATGTAAGCCCGCTCTGAGCTTCACTTCCCACCTTGACCCGACTGCATCCCATGATCCATCGACATAATACAACTCCCTTGCTCTCTCTCACTCAGACACACTTGCCTTGAAAAACTCAAATTCTGAATAAATTCTACTATCTATCTGTTCTTCGCCTATACTGGAGCAGCTAGATGCTGTTGGAGAAACCCCTAACCAGGCTGACTGGTTTCATTTTAAATTCATGACCTCAGGGGCATCTGGGTGGCTCAGTTGGTTAAGCAACTGCCTTTGACTCAGGTCATGATCCCAGGGTCCTGGGATCGGTCTCCCTGCTCAGCAGGGAGCCTACTTCTCCCTCGCCCTTCCCCTCTCCCTGCTTGTGCACTCTCTCTCTCTCTCTGTGTCAAATAAAATCTTTAGGGGCACCTGGGTGGCTCAGTTGTTAAGCATCTGCCTTCGGCTCTGGTCATGATCCCAGGGTCCTGGGATCGAGCCCTGCATCGGGCTCCCTGCTCAGTGGGGAGCCTGCTTCTCCTTCTCCCTCTGTCTACCACTCTGCCTACTTGTGCTCTCTCTCTGTCAAATAAATAAATAAAATCTTAAAAAAAAAAAATCTTTAAAAAAAAATAAATAAAATTCATGACCTCATACATCAAAATGGCCTTCCATTCTGCTAAGCAATCCTATTATGTTTCTTCAGTGGGCTTGGTTTCTAATTGTCCCTTTCTCTTGGCTCTCCCTCCCCTCCACACTACCATCTGTCAGTAAATCCTGTTGACTCTACCTTGAAACGTATCCCGAATCTTATTTCTTTTCCCCATCTTCACCTCTACCACCTTTGTCCGAGCAGCCTTTGTGTTGTGTCTGAGTTATTGCAAGAGCCTCTAAATGTTCTACCTGCTTCCAACATCGCCCTTTCCCCTGCAGACACTCAATCTGCTACCCACAGCAGGCCTGATATAAATTGTCCCAGGTTGCTTCTCTGTTCAAATCCTCCAAGGTATTTCCAGCTCACCCAGAATAAAACCCAAAGTTCTTACCACGGTCTTCCTGGCCCACGTGTTCTGCCGCGCCCTTCACTTACACTCTCCAAGTCTGCTGACCTCCTTGTGGTTACTCCAGCGCCAGGCAAGCTCTCACCTCACTTTTTTCCTTCCCCTTACCAGGCCCTCCATTCAGATACCCACATGGTTTCCTTACCTCCTTCAAGGTTTTGCTCAGCAGGACTATTCTTGGTCATCTTATTTAAAATTGCAACCACCTGCCCGGCCACTCCCTCTCTCCCTTCCTTCCTTTTTCTCCATAGAGCCCTTACCACTTTCGTTAGAAACATACTCTAACATTTACTTACTGAGGTTGGTGTGTACCTCACTGTACTGGAATGTAAGCTCCAGGACTTTTTTTTTTTTCGGTTTCTTTTGTTCACTGTTGCATCCATAATGTCTCGAACACATGGCAAGTTCTTAATAATAAACACGGTGGAATCAATGAATGAATCTAGAAAAATGGATGGATTGTTCATCCTTGAGGCAATCTTCCCTCAATAAATACTGTTTCTCTCAAACAGGAAATAAAGCAAGTTCTTAGCCCTCAAGGAGCTAACAGCTATTGAAAGCTTACCTTGGGGCACCCGGGTGGCTGAGTTGGTTAAGCGGCTGCCTTTGGCTCAGGTCATGATCCCAGGGTCCTGGAATCAAGCCCCATATCGGGCTCCCTGCTCAGTGGAGAGCCTGCTTCTCCCTCTCCCTCTGCCTACTTGTGCTCTCTCTGTGTGTCAAATAAATAAATAAAATCTTAAAAAAAAAAAAAAAAAGAGAAAGCTTACCTTGGCAAACACTTTTTATATAATAGCTCTAAATCTTGCAACTCTCCTATGAGAAAACTAGTGTCCACAAGTTCATTCATTCATTTGCTCATTCAGTAAAATTTACGGAATGCCTACCATGTGCCAGGCATGTGTTCTAGACATTGGGGATACAAAATAGTGAACAAGAACATGTCCTGCCCACATGGCATTTACACTCTAAAGAAGAGAGACAGGCAGTATACATAAAGATCAGATAGTGATAAAAGCTAAGAAAATAAAACTGGCTTATGGGTGTGGGGAGCAGTTCAGAAACAGGTCAAGGAAGGTGTGTCAGGGGATCGACACTGAAGATGAGACTCAAGTGACTAGAAGGAACCAGTCAGGTAAAGACCTGGTAGCATCAGTGCGAAGACCATGTGATGGGAATGAGTTTTGTGTCCAGGGAACATTGAGAAGAGCATGTGTCGGAGAGGGAGAAGATGAGCTCAGAGAGGGAGGCAGAAGTGGGGTCAGAAGTGACTCAGGGATTAAAGTAAGCAGTTTGGGCTTAGTCTAGGTATAATAGGAAGCTACTGGAGTGCCTTAAAGCGTGTGTGTGGGTGTGTGTGATATGATTTGATATGTATTTTGAATGCAACAGATGGAGAATGGGGCAAGAACGAAAGCAGGCATACGAGTTAGGAAGGTCTTGCAGCTGTGAGATACTGGTGAGCTAAACTTGGGGCTTCTGGAAGAAAGGGGATTTGCATTGTGTCTGGCTTTAAATCTATTAGAGAAGCCTCTTTAGCACAAGCAGCTCCAGAAATAAAAGACATGACTTTTCCACCACCATAGCTTTCACAAAAGAGATATATATACATATGTATCTCCACAAATATATACATACTGATATTTGGGGGGAGTAAGGAAAGAGAAGAAGAAAATAATGAATTTTACAAGTAACTAAAATACTTTATGAATTAACACTACTTCCTATAATAGACATATTTTACAACTATGTACTTAAGAGAAAGAAACATGTTTTACTTGCTTTGGAGTCAATACAAGCCTTGGGGTTAAAGGTTATATTTTCTGAGAGATTAGGGCTCTTCAGTAAAAACAAACAAAAAATTATCAGAGCATACTTAATTTTTAAATTGTTTAAATTATTATAAAGTTTTTTTTTTTAAAGATTTTATTTTTATTTATTTGACAGAGAGAGCACAAGCAGAGGGAGAGAGAGGGAGAAGCAGGTTCCCTGCTGAGCAAGGAGCCCGATGTGGGACTCGATCCCAGGACCCTGGGATCATGACCTGGGCCAAAGGCAGCCGCTTAACCGACTGAGCCACCCAGGCGTCCCTAAATTATTATAAAGTTTTAACCATAAAATTGTATTGGGAATAATATTAGTCCTGATCTTTTTTTTTTTTTAAAGATTTTATTTTATTTATTTGACAGAGAGAGAGAGAGAGACAGCTAGAAAGGGAACACAAGCAGGCAGAATGGGAGAGGGAGAAGCAGGCTCCTGGCCGAGCAGGGAGCCCAATGTGGGGCTCGATCCCAGGACCCTGGGATCATGACCTGAGCTGAAGGCAGACACTTAATGACTGAGCCACCCAGGCGCCCCAGTCCTGATCTTTGAATATCTGCATCTATGAGGAGAGATCTATAAGATATAGTAGAAAACAGTATAGTCAAATTCAGTGTGAATTGAACCTTTTTGTTTAATTCACCAATTATAATATTCCACATCCTTACAGAGGAGCACCAGAATGAACAGGTAATTTTTTGTTATTGAGTGCATCCTCTCTCTACAAGGCTCCTAGTCAATATATACATAACTAAAACCTGCACTCCCTTTTAATCAATATAGGACTGAAAAATCCATATTTATTATTAGTCTCTATCTCACTTCTGTCTGTGAAATCAGAAAGTCTGTATCAGTGGAGATGAACAGTAGTGGATTCAGGATATTTTTTGGAAGTAACATTGAGGACTTTTTCTGATGGATGGAATGAGGGAGGTAAGAAGGTATTATCATCTCCATTTTATTTTATTTATTTATTATTTATTTATTTGAGAGAGAGCAAGAGAGCACATGAGAGTGGGGAGGGTCAGAGGGAGAAGCAGACTCCCTGCTGAGCAGGGAGCCCGATGTGATGCCAGACTTGATCCTGGCACTCCAAGATCATGACCTGAGCCAAAGGCAGTCGCTTAACCAACTGAGCCACCCAAGCGCCCTATCATCTCCATTTTAAGAATGAGGAAGGTGTGGGGCGCCTGGGAGGTATAGTGGATTAAGCATCCCATTCTAGATTTTGGCTCATGTCATGATCTCAGGGTCTTGAGATCAAGCTCTGCGCTCAGCAGGGAGTCTGCTTGTCTCTCTCCCTCTGCCCCTCTGCCACTCCCTACTCAAATAAATAAATAAATAAATAAAATCTTTTTTTAAAAAAAGAAGAATGAGGAAGGTGAAGTTCATAAGCATGCCTACTATCACCCTAGTTACTAGAAAACTCAGGATTCCTACTGATGTCAAGACTCCAAAGCTCAGTCATTAAGCATCTGCCTTCGGCTCAGGTGGTGGTCCCGGGGTCCTGGGATTGATCCCCACATGGGGCTCCCTGCTCTGCAGGAAGCCTGCTTCTCCGTCTCCCACTCCCCCTGCTTGTGTTCCCTCTCTAGTTGTGTCTCTCTCTGTCAAATAAGTAAATAAAATCTTAAAAAAAAAAAAAAAGCCTCCAAAGCTCATGTTTTACTTCTGTACCGGACATTATGGGAGCATGGAGGTTGGTCAGACAGAAACCTATTTCACCTCAGAGAATTTACCCTCTAGGGTTTTGATTAAGGCCCCCCCTCCTACCCACCTCCAAAGGAGAGGGCCACTTGCTAACCCCTTGATGACAGCTTACAGATTTTATAAAAGTGAGTTTCCAAAAGTAATAATAAAAAATTAAGTTAAATTCACAGCCAAAGATGACGATTGTTGAGATTTCCAAAACTCTATTCTATAGTTAACTGAATTCTGATGCTTTGAGCACCATGAATAAACAATCAGATAATTTAGTAATTTAGTCAGCCAAATAGTTATTGGTACTGACCACATATCAGGAATTGTGTTAGGCAAGGTATACTTCATTAGGGCCTTTTTGATTTCTGAGTCTGCAGGAAGTGCAAAATGACTTAGCACAAATAATAGTCAATGATTGAATTTCGATTTTCTGTCCTGAATCATAGTCCTTGTGGGTCTCTGTGTCCCTTCCCAGAGCATTTGTTTTGGCTTTGGCTTTTGCTTAGAATTGGGAATAGGGAGAGACATATGGAGGGCAGGTGCTAAAAGCTTGTGTAACAGTTGGTCGAAGGTGAGAAGCTACAGAATGGTGGAGACATGATAATGAGACATGACAATGATCCAGGGAAAGGGAGAGAAAAGCACTATCCCTTGGTTTTGATGAATAAAGAGTTGGTATATGGAGAAAGTGAGAGAAAGATGGTCATGTGTAGATAAGGAAGGAAACAGAAATGATTAGGGGGAAGGAGGGTCTGAGGAGGAATAAACATGGTTGTAGAAGTATTTAAGGCATTGCTCTTCTCCCAGAAGGCTCTGGATTGACTCTTGAAAATTAGGAAAGTTAGGGATCAAGTCTCTTGCTCATTATCTCTAAATCCTGCAAACCCCCTTCCCCTCCCCTTTTTTTGAAGTGAAATTCACATAACACACAATTAACCATTTTTTAATTTATTTGACAGAGAGAGAGACAGCAAGAGAGGGAACACAAGCCGGGGGGGGGCGGGGGGAGGGAAAAGCAGGCTTCCCGCAGGGCAGAGAGCCCAAATGTGGAGCTCGATCCCAGGACCTCGGGATCATGACCTAAGCTGAAGGCAGACGGTTAATGACTGAGCCACCCAGGCGCCCCACCACTTAACCATTTTAAAGTGTACAATTCAGTGGCATTTCATGCATTCATAATGTTAACTAGTTGTATTTGACTCTTTCTCTTTAATCCCACAGCCATGGCCTCTTTCCAAACACCCCTTCCACCCAAAGCCATCATTTCTGCTGGGACCCAGTCCCCAAAATGTCCTATTTTGATACAAAAAGAAAACAAGACCAGCAAGACTTACACTTGAGAGCAGGGAAGCCATTTCCTACTTGCAATCCCACTATTCAGCCCAGCAACCACCCCAGCTTTAGTGGGGAGATGCTGGGGAGGATAAGAAGTGTGGGAGCCATTAGGGGACCAAACCTTTTTACCACACAGAGGAGGGACTCACTTACCTGATTATCCTAACACAGGTGGGTGCTTCACTTCTCTGCTCTGTATACCACACTCATCTCTGCCTGGTTTTAGTTTCTAACCCCATGGCTCTCTGGTGGCCTAGTGCAGACCGATAACTCCTTCCCAAGGAGTACTTGTCATAATGAAGAGCTCGTGTCCATTGTATATGATAATGTAACAGCATATTTATTCTGTTCACATGTTGCATGGAAAAGGTACTTAAAGATAGTTACTAAAAACAAATAACATCTCACTGATGGCCTGGCTGAAATAGTGCTGTCTTCTTTAAGTCCCTGTTCAGTCAATAGTAATACCTCTAGATGCTTCTGCAAGTGATCTCCAGACAGTTAACTGCTATATTCTTGAGCACTTATAATGCCACTTTGAGGACCAATCTCGGACTTGTTATAACTGTTCCTAATTTATTTCCTTAATTAGATCGTGAAGCCCCTGAGGACACAGAATGTGCTTTATTCATTTTTTATTCTGTCTAACTGAATGCCTGGTACTTATTATTCAGTCAATAAATCCTGGAAGAAAACGTTTTTTAAAAAGTCCTATTTAGTCCCCATCATACATGCTGGATTTGCCCTCTATGAAACCAGTTAAGGGTCCAGAACAACTTTTCCTGGCTTATTCCTGTGGGAAGTGTTAAGAGAGCAAAGTGATTCAGTTCATGATTTCCCAGATGTTGCTGAAGTGGACAGCAGGAACCCAAGCAGCTTCCTTGGATATTAGGAACTGAATATGGGAATTGACCAGAATAGATTCTATCACCCAGTTGGATCAAACCATCCTTCCCAGTTTGTCGGTCACCACTCATACTAGGAAAAGTCCTTTGTAGGAATCACATTGCTTCTGCCCCATCACATTGCACCATGCCACTTAAATTGCTCTTACCAAGATCAACAGGGACCTTCTCATTGCAAATCCACTGGCCTCTTTTCCATCCTTATTCTCCTTTACTCTCAGAACATTTGGATACCACCAATTAGCTCCTTTTTCTAGAAAAGCTCTCCTACTTCTCTCCTGTGTCACTTAAGAATGATTTTTGGCAGCAAAGAACAGAAAACTTGTCTCACGGTGTTCTTGAAACATACGAACATTTATTTACTTAAAAAGTCCAGAAGCGGGCGCCTGGGTGGCTCAGATGGTTGAGCGTCTGCCTTCGGCTCAGGTCATGATCCCAGGGTCCTGGGATCGAGTCCCACATCGGGCTCTCTGCTCCTTGGGAGCCTGCTTCTCCCTCTGCCTCTCTCTGTCTCTCATGAATAAATACATAAAAATCTTTAAAAAAAAAAAAAAAAAAGTCCAGAAGCAGTGGGCACTCCAGGTTCATTCAGAAGCTTACCTCTGTCGTCAAGGACCCCTTCTTTCCATCGTCTCCTTTGCTGTCCTCAGCATGTTGACTGTCTTCATCTTTGTTTGCTGTCACATTTATGGTCACAAGATGGCTATGGCAGCTCCAAGCCTGGTGTCTTCATTCCTTTGTCTCAGCAAAGAAGAGAGGCAGGAACGAAAGAATTGCTTCTGTGAAGGTCCTGTCTTCTTTATACAAAAAGAAAATTTTTCCTATGAGCCTCCCATTAGACTTCTTTTCCTATTTCATTGACCAGAACTGAGTCTATACCCACTCCTAGACTAGTCATTGGTGACAAGAAATGGAATTACCAGGATTGGTTTGGACCACTGTAATTTATTTCCCGATTTGGTCAGAGGAAGTTACCTTCTTTGAAATCAAAGGATCTTCCTTCTATTTGAACAAAACTGGGATTCTACTAATATGGGAGAAGTAACATAGGGAATGGCTTTTGGACAAGTGTGGCAGAGACTGGCCTAATTTTTACGACACCATGTCTCTTGGGCACGTAGTGTCACCTCCTGATCACTGTAGCAGTATCCATGTTCCTGAGTTCCCACCAATGTGATGTGTGCAGAATAGATCTCTGTGTTTGCTACCTGCAGGCCTGGCCTATAAAAACTTCCCATACGGGGTGCCTGGGCAGCTCAGTTGGTTAAGTGTCTGCCTTTGGCTCAGGGTATGATCTCAGGGTCCTGGGATCAAGCTGCGCATCAGGCTCTCTGCTCAGCAGGGAGTCTGCTTCTCTCTCTCCCTCTGTGCTCTCTCTCTCTCAAGTAAATAAATAAAAATCTTAAAAAAAAAAAAACAAAAAACAACTTCCCACACAAATAATCCATATTTTCTCTTCCCTTTGTTTTTTTCTGGGCAGATACAAAGCATCCAGTGGAGAAATCCAATGCTCCAAGGAATGGTGAACCTGCAAGAATCAAGATGAGTCCAGAACATCTGACATTCAGACATGCTAAAAAAGACACAGGAGCTTGAAAAGGCCCCCACTGACTAAATCTGGAAAGTTTTAGCACCCAAATAATTAAGGACTGTAAAGAATTACAAACCATTGAAAAACATAGTAATCCATGAGTCTATATCATTATTAGATAACTAACTAATAAGAGATAAGGGAGGATTGGTACAAGTAAGAATCATCAATAGATGCTAAATCTAAGGGAACACGTTTAATGAGGAGCAGGATATTTGCAGGGTCTAAGATGTCTCTCCACAGATTGCTTATTACAAGGAAAAAAATAGTAAATATACTGTGGGGGAATCAGACACCTCAGCAAGGTGACCAAAATTATTATCACCCAATGAGGGACAGAGACATCGTCTGACTTTGAGTTTGACATCCTGAGAAGGACACAATATCACTTATGCAGTATTCTGGCCAGGAATGGATAACCGGGATCTAATAATGAATAAATGTGAGACAAACATGAACAACAAATCGGAAATGAGGAACATTCTCTTGTCCAAACAAAGGGGGTGGGCTGTACTCCTCAAAAATATCAAAGACAAAGACAAGCTAAGGAACTGATGCAGATTAAAGGAGACTAAAGAGACAGGCAATATATGATCCTGAATTGGATCCTCTACTCGAAGGGGAAAAAGGGTAAGAATGACATTATTGGATTAATTGACAAAATTTGGAATATGGATGGTAGATTAAAGTATGGTATCAATGTTAAGTCTCCTGGAATTGATAACTGTATACATTGTGTATGTAAAGGAATGTACATAGGGATAAAGGGGCATGATGTATGCAATTTACTTTCAAATGGCCAGAAAAAAATGTGTGTGTATGTGTGTTACCTATTTGAGACTACAAGTGTTAGAGCAAAAGGGTCAAAACATTAATCAACAAATTCAAGTAAAGGATATATAGGTGCTCTTTTTATTATCAACTTTTCTGTGTGTTCGGAATTATTTCCAAATAAAAGGTTTCCTGGAATCTAGATTTAAAAAATCAGAGGCTTCCCTCTTGTTTCAAAGGCTTTTTCCATGTTCTATCTCCTATCCTTTCCTTCAGACCTTTACTCTCATTTGGTTTTCCCAGTTTTACAACAGTTGGCTTCTACTTGAATTCTCTTTTCTTCCTGGCCCCTTGGATTCACTACTGTTTGGATAGTTGGATGAGTTTTTTGATTCAACTTCTCTCGTGACACAGCTTTTTGGTCAACTTCTCCTAGTTAGCCTTAAGCACTGCAGCTCCTGAGCAAATTTCTTGCCTGCAACATTGAATCTAGGCTCTAGGCCCCAGAGGAATATCATACCCTAAGCGAGATTCAATGCTTCCAACTAGCAACAGCTCCCTCTCCCTCTCCAGCTGCACTGATTTTGTCTAGGAGGAAATAGTTCTCCTATCTGCCCCCTTCTCTCCAGGGTCTCTCCTTGACCAAACCCTCATCATAGCTTTCTAATTAGGTTCTCTTTCTCTAGTCTTTACACCTTCCAGTCAGCCATCCTCATTGCCACTGGCTCTCTAAAGCACAGATTCCTTCATATTACCTGTTTGGTTAAACCTCTGAGTTCTTCAGTGTCTTTAAAATCTGACTCAACCTACTTTACTAATTCCATCTCTTGCCACTTCTCTGCTGAAGTGTCAGCTCTTTCAGAGCATGGACCATGCTTTTTCTTTTTTGTTTAAATATCTCCTTTTCTGAAGTCTTCTCTGGCTCTGTCATTCAAGTCATATATGTCGCCATGCATTTTTTTCCCCTCATTGACCGTAAGCTGAGGAAAGGCCACGTCTTATTCATTTTGCATTTGACCCAGTATCTAGGAGAGTGCCTGGAGTAGAGGAGGCATACAGTGGTTGGACGGATGAATGAATATTAGAGAGGGGGAAATAGTAGATTTTGAGGTCTCCATGTAGTGAGGGAGACTGAAGAAATGACCTAAGAACCATGAAAATAGATCAACAAGTATAAATAAGGTACAAGGAAGTAAAGAGATGATGATGTAGAATTAAATAATTAGAATAAAATGGGAGTCAATCAGGAAAGGCTTCCTCAAGTTGGCTTTTGAGATGTGTTTGAAGAGGAAAGGGACATAACTTGAGATAGTAGGAGCCTAGAAGCATGTCATGGAGTTTGGTTGAGCCAAGGCATGGTAAGTAATTAGTGTGTTTGAAGCCTGTCTACTCCAGAGCTTAAGTTCTGCCTTTTTCCTGGCTCCTCCCCAAGTGGGTATGCTCACCCACTCTCTATATTTTGATGTTTCCCAGGTCAGCCCAATGTAGGACTTTATGTTCTAAGTTCCTGTGAAAATAAGCAAACAAAACTGCCCTGTGTGATTGAACACGTGCTAAACTTGGTCCTCTAGGAAAATCAACTTCCCTTTTTCCAATAAAATAGAACTGCTCCCAGTGCTTTAAGCCAGAAAAGAAACCCTAAGGTACTAACATAGCATTACTGCTTCTTCACAAAAGTATTAGCACATCTTTTGTGTGCGTGTGAGGAGATGGGGATCCAAAGAGGTCAAGAATGTATACTAAGTGAGATCTGAGAAATACAGTGTAATAGCAGAATCTTGACTTAGCCACACCTGTCCGCCTCCTCAAAGAGTATAAGCAAACATCCATGATGCTGGACAGTCGCTTTGTAGGGTTCAGATCACTGCTGCCTCCAGCACTTGCAGGATAGAAAAAATAAACAGATTATACTACTGTCTCTCTAAAAATGGTCCCCACTTTAGGAATAAGAACAATTTATACAGCGGGAGGTACATCTGAAGTCCTAGGAAAGAATCTCTTGACTCTGGGAGATGGCAACAGTTTTTCTTTTAGGATAACCTAGGTTTTTTTTTTTTTTAAGATTTTATTTATTTATTTGACAGAGACAGCGAGAGAGGGACCACAAGCAGGGGGAGCGGGAGAGGGAGAAGCAGGCTTCCTGCCGAGCAGGGAGCCCGATGCGGGGCTCGACCCCAGGACCCCGGGACCGTGACCTGAGCCGAAGTTAGACGCCTAACGACTGAGGCACCCAGGCGCCCCAGGATAACCTAGTTTTTACAGTGTCCATTTTCTCTGAATGCTGTGTGCCCAACGCACTCCGTTTCCTGAATTCCCAGTCTTACTATCTCCTGGTAGAGGCAACAACATTATGGTAGCATTCGGTCACTGCACGTTTTGAGGGGCTGGGTCCAGAGCACACCTGTTCCTTCTCACCTCCTAATGCAAACACAGGTTCCTACGGCGGGCAGCGGGAGAGTCTCCTAAGGGGCTCCTCATGTACGTGGAGGCTTCCAGATCCCGTACACGGATGCCACTCTGCCAGAAAGTCTCTAGATGGCAACGAAACGTTAGAGCCTAAACTGAAGTAATTCCTCACCAGCAGGGGGGCTTCCCGGGTAGGCACTGCCCAATCTCTGGGGGTGTCACACTAGACTGTGGTGATGTCACACTGGCTGGGATGACATTTTACGGCTGGACCCCCCCCTACCGCCACCAAGCACCTTTAAATCGCCGCGGAGTCTGTCGCGCGGAGGGGGCGGGGAATCCGGCCCCCGCACTCGATCCACGCTGGCTCCCCACGGAGGCCCCCCCACTCCCACTCCCATCTGCACTATGCGGTCGTCCTAATCCGCCCGCTCCTCGACACTTCCGCCTCAGTAGGTGTCATGGCGCGGGGCTGGTGAATGGTTCCCGCGGGGCGGGGCCGCCGGATGGGGGCGGCCGCTCGGCGCTCGGCTCGTCGGGTCTGGCGACAACGGCGGCTGCGGAGCGAGGGGCCCGGCGGTGGCCCCGGACGGCAGCGGGAGGCCGAGGCGGGAGCGCGCGGGGCTGAGGCGGCGGCGGCGGCGGCGGCCAGGGGCCGGGCGGCGGAGCGGGCGGGAGGCTGAGGGGGCTCCCCCCGTGGGACGGGCGCGGGGACGGCTCCGGGGGGCGGGGGCCGGGGCCCGGGCCGGCTCGCGCGGGGGGTATGATGACCGGGCGACGGGGCCCCGGATCTCGTCTCCTCCGCCGCCTCCTCACGGCAGCCCCAGCTCGCGGCTGAGAACCAAACCCACCGGCGGTGAGTTGGGCCGAGCGGGAAGGGGCCTCGGCGGGGAGCGAGCTCCCATCCGCTTCCCGAGGCGGGGCCGGGCGGGCCGCGGGCTCTCCGGGGCGCCCGGCCTTGGGGGGGCGCCTCCCTGGGCGCGCCCCCACCCGGGACCCGGCGCCCGGTCCTGCGGCCCGGCAGTTCGCGGCCGCGGAGGAGCTTGCGTTCCCGGGAAAGCGGGGCGGCTCCGGGCTTGTTTTCGGGGCAACTCCCGCTGCCTCCTGCCACTTCTCTTCGGGGCGTGTTGTTGTCCTGAGATGACAGGGGGCCGCCTTGCGCCTCCTCACCCGGCCGGTTTTTCCCGGCCGTTGTGGCAGGTTCCCAGCGTGTGGCTTGTGCGTGTGTATTTCACAGCTCTGCTTATCACCATGGTTTTGGGTTATTTGTGCCCTTTGCGACCAGGAAGCGGTGTCTGGAAAGGACGGCGGTGGTGGGGTGGGTGTGGAAGCTTTTCTATCCTCTCCGCTTCTGTTCTTTAATCGTTAGGTTTGTAATTTGTAATGATGGTGGAGACTACGTGGGACCAGCCCACCTAATGTGTGTCAGTGCAAGGCGGATTTAGAGGTCTGGCTCAGAGGGAAGGAAACTTTTGCTGTCTGTCGCCACTTTCCCACAGCTTTCGTTTAAAGAAAAAAGAGAGAAAAGGTGAGGAAACAACCAAAAAACTCTTGAGTAAGGCCCGCGCTGTTCACAGGTCTGTGGGAAAGAGGCCCTTTTTGTGTTTAGCGACTGGGACTTGGGGCTCGGTCTCCAGCAGCGCTGGTCTAACCTCCAGTTTGTTGTGGTGACAAACCGTGAGCATTGGCCTTGTGTTTATGCTGGGCGAGTTTTCTTTCCTGTTTAGGTGGGGGAAGGGAGGAGGGGCTCGAGAAGGGGAAAAAACAATCCTGAGCCCCAGTATGTCTTTACTCCCCTTAAAGCACTCACTCAGTTGTAGATAGACTTCGTTTTGACGCAGCCCTAGGTGCTTTTTCTTAGTGACACTTTGGGAATTTTCAGTAATTGCATCAAAATATTCATTTCAACTGTAGACTCTTCTGCCCAGTCTATCCTTTATCTTACTTGTTCCCTAGTAACTGATGAAAACAGCAGCCTGGCTTCCTGCTCTTGATAAAGTGGGGTTAAATTAAGTGGCTGATGCCCTCAGCAAATCTACAATTTTGCTCTTGTTTGTGTAAAGCTATTTTTGATTCCTGGTCTGTAGTGTGTGTGTTTTAAAGATCGTAGAGAATTCAAATCATTACAAGCTTTTACTTATATAGGTCTAAAGCTTTCTGTAAAACATTTAAAAATCTAACAAGTCCTATTACCTAATAGTTATTCAGCTGGTGATTTTGGATCTTTACATGTAATTACCTCAGAGTTCTGTGTTACAGTACTGGTATGATGAAGTATATCATTGACTTTAAGATACTGATCCCTGCTGGGAGGATATTTTAGTAAAGTAACTTGTGGTTGGAACTGGAGGCAGCCAAGCCAGTAAAGCATCTGATGAGTAAAATGGTGAGTGAGATCTTGTAAATATGTATACTAGCTCTGGTTGGTAAGTAGGACTTTGCTGGTGATACTCATAGTTTATGCTATTTTTGGATTTGTAGTTTTATTAATTGTAGAGTAAGTTGATTGGTAACTTGAGATTTTAAAACAAACCAGAACTCCCTCCTAAAAGAAAAAAAGATAATCTCAAAGTTCACAATTCTCTGGAAAATAGAATTTCTTCATTCTGTGGTTTTGTTTTCATAAGCACAGCTCAGTCAGTGGTTCTGTTGAGAGAAATCAGTGAGCCAAACCTGCCTTGTAAACTTCTTACACTTGGAACTTGCACAACTTGTTGTTAGTTGTATATTGTAACTGGTCCTTTTGTAATTTGAAGTAATTTTGCAAACATGAACTTCCTGATCTGCCCTTTTATGTTCATTTTCACGACTGTACAAAGCAATCCATGTTTTTTTAGCTTTTTTTTTTTTTCAAGTTAGTTATTAATTTCTCCCCAGTTTCTTCCCTTAGGTTTCGTGCAATTCTGAGCACAAGCCATCAAAATAATTTTTCCTTCAAGTACCACTTCAACAATCACTGATTTGCTTTTTGGTTCCTTTTTTGTTCCTAATTTCCCAGCTCCCTAAATGACTTACGTATTTTTGTAGAGCATGATTTGGCTCTGTAAAAAAACTTACATCCTGTTTTTGTTTCTTTCTTTCTTTTTTTTTGTGTTACATCACCTAAGCAACATTCTAAATTCTTTGAAGATAGGGAAACTTATGTATATTTCTTTTGGATTTTTTAAGGGCACCTGGTAGGTACAGTGCTTTCCCAGAGTGCTTAATGAAAAAGAATCAGAAGACCTGAATTCTTTGCCAGCATTGCTACTCATTAGCTCTATGTAAAACTTGTTTGCCTTTCTTGGGTCTCCTTTTTCTCATCTTGGAATTAGGGGGTTTTGGAAAGAGTCTCATAAGGTCTGGTTTAGCTGTAAGAATCCTTCTACTTTTTGGCCAGTGTCTTCTGCTTCAGTCAAGTACATCTCCTTACTTGAAACAGTTTTTCAGGTTGCTACATTCCCTGGCATACTGGCAAAAGTTATCTCATTCATCTGAAAGAAGTTATTCTGCCTTCCATCTGCCAAAGTGTTGTTACCTTATTTAAAGTCCTATTTTCCTTAGGCCTTTGCCTTTGCTGACTGATCTAAACAGGGTCATCTCAACGTTTATGTTCTATATTGATGTATGCTTTGTTAATTGGACGTTTTCCTTATGCTTGAAACTTCTCGAGGTACAGCTTTCTTCATTCTAAACTTTATAGGCCTTGTAAACTGTTGGGTGCACATACCAAGATCATACCTTTTTTTTTTCTTTAAAGATTTTATTTACTTATTTGACAGAGGGAGGAGAGAGAGAGAGAGGGAACACAAGCAGGGGGAGTGGGAGAGGGAGCTTTCCCCGAAGCAGGAGCCCGACGCGGGGCTCGATCCCAGGACCCCGGGATCATGACCTGAGCTGAAGGCAGACGCTTAAAGACTGAGCCACCCAGGCGCCCCCCAAGATCGTACCTTTTTACCAAACATAAAAAACACCTACTTTTCTTTTGTTCTGTAGCTATAGAGTCATCATTCCAAATAAATAGCAGAGTGATTGAAATTTAGGAAAAGATATCCTGCCTAGAAGGAAAGCACCCATCAGCTAGTTTACCAAAATATTACAAAATATTGATTATATGGCTGTAAATTACATAGAATTGTAGGGTTACTCTATCATCAGCTAACACCACTTATTCCACGCCCTCTCTTTGCATACTGGTTGGGCAATTGGCTTGTTGGTTCCTTATGAAGGAAAGTGTTACAGGAAAGGGGTGGGGAACTTCCATTCAAATGGTGTCCTTAGGGTTTCACGCTTATTTTTTCCTTCATGTATCACTACACTTAGAAAACTAATTTAGGTCTTCTCTCGTAGGCAAGAAACTATAATTTCTATTTCACTTGACTATTTCTCTAACTTAGTATGACACCTGAGATCCCCTTATGTTTATATATGGAGCAGTAATGATCTCTTTCTAGTCATTTATTCTAACAAACATTTGACACATACCATATGTGATAGATGCTGGTGATACCAAAAAGAAAAAAAAGACACCTACTCTGGTATTGAGAATTGCCCTCACAGAACTGGCAGTTTAAGAAAAGTCAACTTTTTTGGGGGTGGGGGGGAGAGGCAGAGAGACAGAGAGAATCTTAAGCAGGCTTCACACCCAGCGTGGAACCTGATACAGGCCTCAGTCTCACAACCCTGAGATCACGACCAGAGCCCAGATCAAGAGTCGGACGCTTAACCGACTGAGGCACCCAGGCGTCCTGAGAAGTCAACTTTTAAATAGTCATGCTTAGAATAACATTTAGGGTGGCCTCATGAGTTAATATGTGATCTGGCCCTTGTCTGTCTCTTTGGGCCCTGTTTCTATTATTTTCTCTCCTGTTCTATTCAAATAGGCCAAGAATGTGCCTTGGCACTAACTGTTGTCATTCACTGGAATGGCTCCTTCTTGTGAGTTATATCTTAGCTTAAGTGCTACCACCTTACAAGGCCTTTCCTGACCACCAAATTTAGAGTACCTCTGCCTTTCCCACCGTCTCTGTCACATCACTGTGTTTTGTTTTCATCATAGCATTATCACTAGCTACTGTTTTCTTGGGGGGGTGTGTGTGTCTGTCTTCCCAGAAGAAAGTTAAATTCCGGGAGACAAGGAATCTTGTCCTTCTGGAGCACCACTGTTATCCCTAGTTTCTAGAACAGTGCCCGGCAGACAGACTAGGTACTCATTATATGTTTGTTAAATGAGTAAATGACATAAATAAGTACAAGTGTGGTAAGTACTAAGAAGTGGTACAGGATGCTGTGGGAGCCTTTACCAGGAAACCTAAGCTAGTACAAAGTGATCCGGGCAAGGCTTTCTGAGTGTTTTTTGTCAGCATAAGGCTGACTAAAACATACATAACCTAGGAAATTAGTTTTTCTTTCGTGTAACAGCCTGAAGTAAATGTTCCAGGTTGAAGTGAGCGTTCTTGGTGGGCAGGTGGCTCTGCTCTTAGAGGATCATTCAGAGACAGTTCTTTCCATCTTATTGCTCTGTCATCCC